CTTACGAAGAAAACCTTTTTGCTTGTAGTAAGAAAAAGAAAAGAAAACAAATAGAAGTTCACCACATCATCAAAACATAAAAATGAGCTCTTGGGATATCGAACGTCAACGTAAATTAAATAATGAATTTGATAATATTTTTCGTGAACATGAACGTCTTCAACAAGATCTTAATTCCGATCAAACTCAACATTATGAATCTCTCTTAAATTCTATTAATAAATGGGAAGATGATGCTATGAAAAAAATTGAAAAAACAGCTAAAACTGCACGTAATGATATTGAAAAATTACTTAAAAATACAAATCAACAATTACAACGTTTTGTTAATAATACGATTACTGAAGAATTACGTGAAGCATTACGAGAAAAAAATAAAATTACTGAATTTAATATTGATAAATGGTTAGTACAATTATCACAAGCTCGTAAAGAATTAGAAAATCTATCTTCAACTATTGAATTTTCATATAATAAATCTATTAAATTAATAAAAGTTAAACAAACAAATTCAACAACAAATCTTGATTATAGAACATTTTATTTTGAAAAAATTCGTGGTCGTCCAATTTTATATAATACTGAACATGTGATTAGTTCTGTTCGTCCAACAATAGTTCTGAGTGAAAAAAAATATTCTACTGGTACACATTATTTTCGCTTTCGTATTGAAAAAAATACTGATGAATTATTTTTTGGAGTTATTAGTAGTAAAGATCATCAAAATTTAATACAAAATAAGCATCCGATTGAATCAATTCATGGATGGTGGAATATTGATCGTCGTGTTATTGCTGGTCGAAAAGATGCACATCTTTCCGCACTTAATATATATAATGGTGATGAAATAGTATTAATATTAAATTGTGATGCACGTGAAATCTTTCTGGAATATTCGTCAATGACTAAACTAAATTCAATTCGTTTAGTTGATGATGTACGTCTTTGTTCACCTCCTTGGAAAGTATTGGTTGAAATAGGTAAACCAGGTAGATGTTTGCTGAAATTAATCGATTGGGGTCTTAGAGCACAAGAATCAAATCGTACAGAATAACATTAACATTATTTTCATCATCTCATAGATTTTTTGATACTACATCAATGTTCATTTTACTCACAAGAAATAGCTTAATTTGAACTAGTATAATAATAAAAATTAGTTTTTGTATGTTGCTTTTTATTAAAATTAAATATTGTTTTATTTTATAATTTGACAAAAAAAATCTAGATTAAATAAAATAGAAGAAATAATGTTTCTTTTTTGAAGTTAGTGAATTATACTTTTGATTATTAAAGTATCGTTCATATGGCAAATATCTATGAAATGAAAGAAAATTACTAGAAATATCAAATTATATAAAATACATTTTATTACCTTTAAGTTTTTTTCAATGTCATTTCAGTATCAATTAATCGCTGGCACACTTGTCTAGTTATGATATTTTCAAATGTAATTTTATCGTCGAAAGTTAGTGCTTTAACATCAATATACTTTTTAAATTCTGTAATCATCATATTTAAATGATTTGAACATCGTAAAACATGATATGTGATATTTTTCTTTTTCATCTTGTCTAATACATCAGAAGCAACTTTTTCACATGGACAACCATCAGGCCATTTATCATTCTTGCTTGTATGATATATTCTGCCGTGTGGTGGTGCATCGAGTATATGAAATAATAAATGATCAGCCTTCTCACGCCATGTCAATGTACATGCTGCATCGAGGCCATCAAGTACAGCTTCAGGAAAATCACCACCAGTGCCTATTCTTAAATTCATTACATATTGTATAGAGGATGAGTGTGAATGCGAGATAAATACAATACTCACACCCTCCCTCAAGTTCTCCTTTCCTGTTTTTGGAATATTACATGAAATTAAACTAATGTGATACAATTCGAATTTGCACTATAAGTTCATAATAAAACGAATTCTAACCCACAGATTTACTTTGAAAGTTTTCAACTATCATCATGACTGTTTCTTTTTCGAATGAGAATATATAGATCATACTCTATGACATGCGAAATTAATAATTGCTGATACGATATAATAAAAAACAATTTCACATATTCAACTCTGATCATGGCTTAAGTAGGATATCATGTTATAATTGAAATTGTAAAATGATACTTATGTGTTAATGATGATAGAGCAAACATTTGCATATAAAAATAATTTTTCTTTTACCATTTTCATCAATATTAGTTTGCACACTATTGTGAGTAAAATACGACAAGTTTAAAAAATGAAACGACTGTTATTGTCGATATTGTTTGTTCTGTTTATTAATAAATGTGTAAGTCAAAGAGGTTTTCCAAAACAATTTCAAACAAGTTTAAATATAAGTGGATCAGCATCAGCTCCAATATTAACTCCTGGTGTTCAATACTTATTGTACGATTATAACAATTTAAGAGTTCGTTTTGATGTTCAAGGATGGCGAGCACAACAAAATGAAACCTACATGATTAAATACAAACCTGAAGGTGCTGAAGCAGATTCAGTACGTAGAAAATAATTCATTATGAAATATAGTATTAATCATGAAGTCCGTCTTTTTAGCCAGCATCACAAGGTTATACAATGTTCAATTTTAATCCTGATTATCCAGCGTTGACAAAAGTAAAAAGAAAACTTGTTTTTTTTCTTTAAATAAGATTTTTTTTCTTCTCTAAAGAATGATTGTTGGTATAGAACAAATCCAATGGGTGATGTAGGTCCATTTCCATGGAGTTGGTTTTATGGTTCAAATGAACTTCATACGGAAATTCAACGATGGTTTCCATTACCATCAAATCTTATCAATATGGGTGACGAATGGATACCAGAAATTCAAGAAAATGCAACAGTATATTTCTTTTCATCTCGATCGGATGAGAATATGATAATATGTAGTAAAAAGATTTTGTTTATTGTAGAGATATGATTCACCAGAAATATGTGACTTAAAACGATCTGGTCGTGGCAAAGTTCCATGTTTAAGTTATTTTGAAACAAAAGATAGACCAGCTAGAACCATTACTGCGCGTGCTGCTCAAGGATCCTACGATGCTGATGAGTAAGTGTAAATTGTGTGATTTTTATTAATATAATAAATAATAGCATGTCTATTTATATAGCTATATAATTACAACTTATTTATCATTTACTAATGGCATTCCATCAGAAGCTGAACATTTATTTGATGTACCTAAACAATGGCCTTCGTATTGTGGCAATGCAAATACTGGTAAATGATAGTTGTCAATTATTTATCTGATTTTATGCTGTGTTGTGATAGGTTTTGATGTTGATCCTGTACATGGATATGTGGTAACTCCAGATGGTCAAGATCATTTTCAATTAAAATTAAAAACACCACCAGTTCATGCACTAGGTGATGAAATTAAAATTGAGTTTAAAGTACAACCAAATTGGTATTATAATGGTACACGATGTGCTCAATTCAATCCAATTATTTTTAATAAAACAAATTGGCAAGTTCCACAAAAAGTTGACATGTCTTTTATTGATTACGGTTGTTGCACATATGAAATTACTGCAAATAGTGGTGGATATGATTGGCAATATCAACCAAACACATTTGTTGTTTATGCATGTGATAGACAAGCTGGATACGGCTGCAAAGGAAGAGAACCATGTGGCGGCTGAGAACATTCAACAACAAGAAGAATTATACTTAAGACTGATATATGTACGCGAGATAAAAAAAACTATTTCAGTTTATTATAACTAAATAAATATTCTTCTTGAGAGTGTGGATGTGCATGTTATTATTATTTTCTACTCACATTCTGAGCAAACTATCAGTTTATTGAGATAATCAGACATGTTAACCTTAGTTCCAAAATATTTGTTCTGAAAGAAATAGTATAGGGACAATACTGTTGTTTAGGTAGAAAATACATGACAAACATGTCGTAAAATAGCAACATCAAAAAAAAGAAAAGTTAACATAGTGTTATCAACAAGCAGAAAAAAATAAATACTGAGTCTCACATATAACAACAAGCATGCTGTGCCCATATCAAATATTCGTTCGTTCTTTGCCACTACAACAAGATATTTCAATAGCTACACACACACCAGATAAAAAAAACTGTTTTTTGCTATAGATGGAAAAGATCGCGTCAGAAACAGACAATGAAAGTATTATTATAGGTAATACTTCCAATTTCTGGCGTTATTCGAGTAAAGATGGTTTTGATTTAACTCGACAGAATAATCATCAGACTGGCTCTTCTATCTGTCTTCAAACAACAACGACAGCTATTCGAATCGATCCAGCACGCTCTGCTCTTGTTATTATCGACATGCAAAATTTCTTTTTGCATCCAGCCGTACGAGCACATGAGCCAGGACTTGCTGCATCAAAGCAACTGCTTGAAAATGCAATCCCCACAGCCCGTAAGGCAGGTATTCAAATTATTTGGCTCAACTGGGGTTTAACACAAGAAGATATAGATCATGCACCACCGGGACTGAAACGAGTCTTTGGCGCTTGTAGTAGTGTTGAATCTAGAAATAAGCATTTACCACCAAAGACAATTTACACAGGTCTCGGAACTGAGATGGGTGACATCATATTATCCAGTGGCGAATATGTCGATGGTGGAAGATTACTGATGCGTGATACTTGGAATGCTAAACTCTATGATCCACTTTTTCAGAGCTATGAAAGTAGTCAACATAGTGTGAAGCCTGATAAATGGTTTCATAAAGTAGGAACTTTGTAATTTATCGATGTACATATAAATTGATATTTTCATGTATAATTCTATAGAATCGTGTATCTGGTTTATGGTCACATGAATCTCCACTACTTTCTTATCTCAACGAGAACAACTTAATTACGCTCTTCTTCGCTGGTGTTAATACTGATCAATGTGTTTTAGGTACATTTAACGATGCATCCAGTAAAGGTTTTGATTGTATTCTGCTAAGTGATGGTTGTGGTACGATGAGTTCATCATTTGCTCGAGAATTTACCGAACATGCGTGTGCACGAGGAGAAGGTTTCGTGATGGATACAGAAGCATTTGGCAAAGGTGTCGAAGCCTCTATACATTAGTTTTCATTTCTTTTTGTTTGAATTATTTGCTACATGTTTCAATATTGATTGAATATTTTCTATTACAATTGTGCAAATAAACGTTAGGTTCCGAATAGGACTCTACAGTGAGAATGCATTTTGGGGATTCATTGTTAACGTACACTCATATTTCTAAACGAACAAAAGATAAGTTATCAACATAGCGAATCTTTGTTTCTTTTCTTTCAATGCCCATAAAAAACCGTCATTATTTGCTTTTAACTCATAAATGATGACAAAAGAAAATAAAAAGCAAGTCATCATATAATCTTACTTATTTTTTTGTCTGCTTGTTGACGGCTTCAGAGGATACACGGATTTATAATACAATACAAAATTATGAATCATCAGGTGATCTCTACATTACCACTCCTAGGTGTTGAAAAGTTTTTTTGCTTACATGGTGGCTGGTTAACCATCGCACATGCTGCTCATTTGAGTGGAAATTATTCGATGGTAATCAGCAATGCTTCAAATGCTCTCCAATGTCTTTTAAAACGTCATTCTCGCATGCGCACACGTCTTCGAGTAGACGATAATCGATATTTTCTCGACAATCTTCAATACAACAATGAACAGTTATCAAGCGATTTATTTTTCTCAGCTATTGAAATAAGAAACGAGTCTTGGCAAGAAATCGTTGAACGTCGATGTAATCAAGATCCATATTCAAATAATGGAACGGTTATCTTTCCAATGTTTCATTTTATGCTTTTATTCAATTCGGAACAGTCTGACGATCAACTATTTCACTTAATTCTCTTTCAAAATCATTGTGTCTCAGATGGCCAAAGTGGATTTATTCTTATTCATGAGTTTTTGACTTTGGCAACCACTTCGAATGCTCTCGAAATATCAGAGCCACTCAATACAGAAATACTTCCATTACTTGGCCAATTGATTCCTCGTCCATATGGTTTGTTCTATCATATTATAGCATTCATAGGCAGATACATTTTCATACGAGAATTACGCCAACTAACTCATCCACGCATTCCTGTCAAAAGCATTCCTCTCAACGACTGTCAACCAACAAGATTTAAAGTTCAGCGATACAAAATAAGGTTTTTGTTTGCTTCGAGTTCTTCGAATCTCTATTCCAAACTACATCCACAATGTCGACTACATGGAGTGACATTAAATGGTCCGCTCATGGGATGCCTCCTATTGGCTATTCATCATTGTTTTCCATTAGACGACAACACTCTACTGAAGCCATTCGGACTTGGTGCTCTGTTTAACATGCGTTCGCGTCTTCCACAATCACCTCTCACACCTTCTTCAATCGGCTTCTTCGCAGGCACGGGTGAAGTTAAGCTCAAACAATCGCTTTCCATTCGATCTACTCAATTTTGGACACTGGCACACTACTGCATGACTAATACTCAAAATCAACTGAAACGAGATGGTGTTCCATTAACGATGAATATTTTTGCTGATGTGTTGAGAAATGAACAAGAATTCGACGAAACTCGTCAACTCTTTCCAGAAGGACGATTTTCAGAACTTGGCTTTTCGAATATTGGTAAATATCCGTTTTTCTGCAAATACAATGAAGGTGAAGTACAACTGCAAGGTATTCATGTCATCAACAATATGAGTGTCTATCGTACTTCAACCGATATTTTTGTCACTTGTACAGATAACAAACAGTTAGACTTTGCTATGGCACATGAAATCGAAAGTGACGAAATGGCACACGGTTTTCTTGAGTATTACTTGCGTCTTATTGAACTCTGTGCTGATAGTGAGCGTTGTAAAAGTGAAACAACTCTACATGAACTATTAAAAATGATGGAATGATCATAAATATTGTAATCAAGAGATTACCTAAATAAAGAAATATATTCGGATCGAATATTTTAAATAGTCGCACGCTAGTTGAAACAAAAAAAGACAAAATTGTTCGATAGAATTAGAGAAATATATTGTATTAAAGCTTGGTATCTATACAGCATGTAAGTTAACTATATCAGGTAGAAGATTTCATATTTTACAATATGTTTGACATGGTAATCGTTCGACGAATATTTGAAATATATTAACCAGAAAGAACATAGGAATTGTTCCCAATATCACGCCTAGTTCAGTGCTTATACCAAAATAAAACATTCCTTTCTCGTCTATTCATTGCATTTTAATTCGATTTCCAATCGCAATTCGAAATTCGAATATAGGCTAGGATTAAAGTTGCTAGACACCATGTGGTAACCATTACTATAGATCCATATATAGTGTCAGCCATCCACGAACATGGACTTTGCCAAGCAGTACATACAATAAAAATACAAAGACTTACGCCAATTATCGTTTCTACGATAACTGTACGTATTGTTATTGTTGGCCAACGAAAACTGAGAAAACATGCACTAGGATAGGCAAATGGAGAGAGAATACATGTATAATAAAATGTTTTTTGACCAAAAGGTAATAAAGAATAAGTAATTAATGGTTGTAAACAGCCAATTAGCATATCTCCACTGAAAACAAGAAGAGTTAGGAGTAAAATTAACGTACTAAAAGACGTTTCTGAAGTATGTTGTAATCTAGCTAGTTGAATATGAATGTTCATTGGAAAAGTTTCATGTTGCTGGATTTGTATTGATGATTTTATATTCTTGACTGAGTTCTAAAATTTGTTCTCAAATGGATTATATATATATACACTTTACTATTTACCGTTTCAGCTGCATCAGCCATCGCGACGATATTTGTCTATCTCAGCAAGATAAAAGCTATGAGCGATAAAAGGACGACTCCTGCTATACAGAATAAAAATACGGTGGAACTGAAGCGTGGTTGAGAATAGGTGGATTCCAGAAGGGTACTACTGGCAGTCTGAACATAAATTGCTTCACTAACAACGCCCTGCAAAAGACGATGTACAATCAAGAAAGTCCAGTGTAAATATAGTACTCAATAACCATATGCTTCGTTTGCGACCAAATAATAGAACGGTTTTTTGCCATGATACAGCCATTACACAACTTGATATAATACCAATGATAATGATAATATAACTATAAGGAATCTCTGAAAATCGATTTTTCTGACGCCAACGTATTATTATAAGAAGCAATGGTCCAATGTGGGCTGCACACATGCACAAACCTATTAATGATGATAATTTCCAACCTTCAGGTGTAAGTGGAATGATAATAGGTAATTGCAAAAATACTCTTGAGAGATCAATCCATGAACTTGAATTCATGATTACAATTAATGCGAAGCATACTGTTTGTGCCGATTTTGTTGATATATACCTTGAAATATTTAAATTAAAGTATAGAAGAAATTATAAGATGAAATGAAGTATAAAACTTTGTAAACTGTTTACTCACTTTCTTGATTATCATTCAATTCAGTACATATGTTTAAATGCATTCTTAGCAAGTCGAACAGAATGACTCAGCACGTGTTTTTTTGTGATGATTTTAGATATAGAAAAAAAACGTTAATGGTATTTTGCACATGTGTCACGCTTGAATGTAATTTTTTCTTCATTCTTTCAGTCGAGATGAGCAGTAGATTTTTTATGAATGTAATAAAACATATACGTCGAATGATGAAAAATGTATCTGTTCATTCAAAAATTATTTCAATCCACAGTGATCTGATTCTGTGAATAGCAACCAAAGAACAAGTGTTCTAAAATTCAAAAGGTGAAAGCTTTCTTGAAAATATGGAAAGATTAACTTCAGAATAAAAACATTATGCTGATTAAAATAAACGAGGAGCAAAACCATTAAAAACATTTATATTAACAAAAATAGATCAAGATGGATTTGGAAAAGAATTATTAAATCGATTAACAATGTTCAAAGCAATTTCTAAAATTGAATTTGAAAAGAGTATAGTAATAGGTTGACGCGTCAGAAAACTACATCGACTATACTTTTTTATTTCAATTCAGTTATTAAACTTTACTAGACAATCAAATTAGTTTTTTTCATCTAAATCCTCATAAATCAATAGTGGATCTTTTGACTGTAATACTAATGTCCACATCCACTCCATCCTCACCGATACCCTCAAAATGCATAGAAATTAAATTTCGATGCAGCCTTTTACTACAAAACGGACATTCGACATTCATAAGCAAAGAAATTCTACATCTGAAGTTTATTACTGGAGAGTTTTTCGGCGTCATTTTTATCATAACTAACAATCTACTTACTCTTTTATATGAATATTCTTGAATGATTAATAAATATTAAATATCAGTTTGAATAGTTTTCAGTCAAAATTATTAATTCATTTGACCGTACCTTTTTACAAATGTCAGAGCTGGACAACTCAACTCAAAAATGTGGTCAATTCGATTCGATTCATTGAAAGAAAAATGTGATTCAATTCGTATACTTATGGGTGTAAGTCTGGAGTGTGGGTGTCTCTTGTCTTAGCTCACACCCGGACCTGCACTCACACCCTCCGTCAATTTCCGGTGTCCTCCTACCGGATCCGATCCGTACTTTTCAACATGGGCTAAAATGATGAGTGGTTATCCTTTAAATTGTCAGAATTCATCATCATCTGTTTTCTTTCGCTTAACTTTGAAATTTTCATATTAATCATAGATTTCTATATTTCGCAAGATTATTTAGATAAAATTATAAGAGCATAAACAAATATTTAAAATATGACATAGAATGAACTTAAGCAAATGAAGAAAAAAATAAGCTGATATATTAATCAAGATAAATATTTAAAATATAATATTGAATGAACTTAAGCAAGTAAAGAAAAAATATCAAGCGATATATTAATCAATGATAAAATGACTTTACTACATAGTGTAAATGCAACATATGAAGAAAATCATTTTATTATTATTAATGTAAATAATATGCAAGACAACATTGACTTAAAAGTGAAGTAGAAAAGTCAGAGATTCACCAGCCATTCTATCATATCTCTCCATTGTTGTTCATATCACGTTTTTTTCGTATAAACGGAATGATTATATGCACCATAATCTTTATGAATATTGGTACAATAAATCTATAGACTTTTGTTAACCCTCCAATCAATCCTATAGTTGTTGTTATAATATAAATAATATTTCCACGGCTTATATATGTTGCTGTACAGACTGATGGTTGACATATATTAAAATAATTATCATAAAATGTTTGATTATTCCATTCTTCAACCATTAAATTTGAAACAATTTCTAATAAAGAACTTTTTTCTTGATAATGACTTGCTGTGGAATTTAAAATAATATCCGATACACTGATATTTTCTAAAGATAAACTATCGATCAACTGTTGTAAACAATCAATGTCGAAGAAACATCTTAGATCACTTTGTAAAACTGCTTCAACAAGATAACATCCAACAAATATACCTGAAAATAATAAAATATATATATTCTTTTCTTCAAGACATAATATTCACTTGATCAAAAGGAAGACTCTATAATTCCTAAATATTTAATCAATACAGTTTTTTAAAATTATTTCTATGAAATAAATAAAGGGAATATCTGAATAAATTATATGTTTATACAAACTTGGTCTCCAATTTCGATTTAAAAAAGAAAGAGGAATTCTTAAAGAATTGAGTTCTTCTAAAATAAAGGATTTTTCATGAAAAATAGGTCTACACTTATTACAATAGAAAGTATATTTTCGCTAAGTTTGCACTATGAAAATTTTGAAAATCAGCAGGTTTTCTAAAAAAACCGAAAGTTAATAAAAAAAAATAGAGAAAAGATCTACATGTGTCATTTTCCAGCAACCATATAGGTAAACGCTGCTTATCACGATATTGATGATAATTAGTAAGAGCAAAAAGAACAGTAACAACAGTTTTTTCCGTCATATTTATATGCTCTCTAATCTATTTTCTTTTTACATTTATACAGGCATAGACATAGAAAGAACTTTACCTGGTGGAGAAAACAGTTGTGTTATTGTATCTAAATCATAAACAATTGCTTGTTGAATACACCATGGTGTACTTTGACAATCACAATCAATTCCAGTCTCATTCGAATTATATAGTTGATCTACTCGATCATAAATATATGCATATTCATAATCTGAATATGTATTATACTCATATAATGGAGATGCTGATGAATACAATGAATCTGATTGATATGCAGAAAAGAACATATTTGCTGCAGTCATGTTTTCCGCAAAAAAGAGTGAGTTAATAAATGAACGAGCTGTGTTTTGTAAAAATTGATTAATTAATTGATTTATCTGAGTTTGAAATTGTTCAAATGTAATTAAATTTAATGTAATAAATCTAGTTGAATAAAATGTTGTTAATTCTGCATTCATTGTTTTATTTGATAATTTACAAAATGAATTTAAAAGTTGAAAAAATAGACTTCCAATTTGTCGAAAATCATCTTTTCGAGCAGAATGTATCGGCATTGTTTGTGGATAATCAAGTACAATCCATTGTGAAGTTTCATCAACAAATGTACTTGAACAAATTGAATGCAAATGAGGTTGAAAACTAATAAATTCTTCATAAGTAATTGAATATGTTTGACATGGACATTGAATAGTATTTGGATATTCTTGATAAAGTTTATTAAATTCAGTAATTGTTGGATTATTCTTAATAATTGTATGTGTAATATTTTCAAAAGAAACATAAAATACTAAAATAATTAAAGTAATTAGAGTAATTATAAGAAAGAAACGTGTTGAAAAACGTTGTTGTTGTAATTGTTCTTCAGATCTCTTAATTCGGTTTTTAAATAAATTAAATGTTAAAATACTTATTTTTAATTTTTGTCCTATTGTTGTTGTTTGTATATCTAAAAAAACATACAAACAATTAATTGTTATTCATTTTAAAACAGAAATGTTTTCTGGTTTTAGTGTTTAAAAATGGGCAATATGACCTTCGACATCTCTTATTTTGCGTATATTTCGACATGAGAAAATAACAACACGTTGATTATTTTTTGGAAAAGATGCAGCATGAAAAGGTATATTAAAACTACATAGAAAACTTCTTCTTGACTTATTCCGATGGCTTTCCTATACTTAATACGAACGACCTATATAATTATACTTTGTCCTATCGTAATAAAAATATTTGAAAAAAGTTTTCATATGCAGTAAGAGTTTTTTATAGTGCATCTTTTCAAAAAAATCAACATTCTGTTATTTTCTTTTGTCGAAATATATGCAAAATAAGAGATGTCAAAAAACTTCCGAGACATTCGATCCAAAATGGCCACATCAGCAAAACTCGAAATACTTTTTTCGGAACTGTTCCGGTAGATATATAGCCACGACAGATATCTCTGATCTAATATCAGTTACTATGTCGAAATCATTTCATACAAACACTTATCTTAAACAAAAAACTTTCCGTTCTTGTAATAGTCTTTTTTAAAACAACAATTTTAAGTGATCAAATATTACAAAGCAAAATTAATAAGAGTTCTCAGCAATAAGATCAAATTATTAAATTTGTAGTGATTTTATACGATGCTTCTATATTCAAAAGTCTTTTTAAAGTAAATTTTAAATACCTTGATTAATCATTGGTTGATTGGTATCAGTTTTTCTTTTTTGTCGCCATCGTCTAATCATTAATACAATAAATGGAATAATTATTTTTAAAATAGTTGTTAATCCACCAATTAAACCAAATGTAATTGCAAATATATAACTGATATCTCCTTTAAGATTATACGAATATGAACATAAATATGGATTACATTGTTTAAAATAAAATTGAAATGATGTTTCATTATTCCATTCTTCAATCATTAAATTATCAATAATATCTTGTACACTTGTTGTTAAATTATAACGACTGCTATTTAATTGCATAGCAGTTGCATTAAATGGATATTTTGATGTTGAATAAATTAAATTACTTATATTTTGTAAACATGTTTGATCAAAAAAACATTCAAAATTAGAACGAAACATTGATTCACTCAAATAACAACCAATATAATAACCAGGAACAGTAAATAGTTTGTTAGCGGCCTCAGTCTGAATAGAAAAATAGAAAGCAATATTAGCCATTTACTATAAGAAATACTTAATAATAGTAGGACTAGATACGTGCGGAACTGGAACCAGTATCAAGAAGAACTTTACCATAATCGGAACTTGAATGTGAATTTATATCATATTTTAACTCCATTAGTACTGAAATGCAATTTTTGTCCTATGACATTAATCATTTTATTACTATCAGCCTAATATCTTGTTATACAAAAAAGAACTCTTTACAGCGATCGAAAAAGCATGGTTTCATATATGTTCAAGTCGAACTCTTTATTCATATTAAACTTTTTTTTTCAATTAGTATTGAATAATTTGATACAGCTAAATATATTCTTCCAATTAAAAAAAATATAACTTCATTCGAAATTTATGTCTACGGTAAGATAACTAAATAAAATGTGAAAAATGACTCAAAATATTTTTCTATAGATCAGTGTGAAATATACGTCGTCAGGTGTAGTTTTTTTTATAATGATTACGAATATGTTATTGATATTTCCCTATTTGTGTAAAATCTTAGTAAAGAAAGTCAATTAAAGCTAATGCTAAATGGGGAAGAATAAAATATGATGTATGTTGCTTTTAAGTGTAAAACATAAAATAGACAATAAATATTCTGTAGCAAATATTTTTTTAAACAAAAACTTTTTTTTATCGAATATTAAATTTTATTTACCGTGTCATTAGGATTGCTGATATTAGATAATTGATTGCATGTAGTTGGCTGGATTTTACATGAACATGTTGTGTTAGGGCTAGATTGATAATACAATGGGTAAAATATGAGATTTAATTGATGAGGATTTAATGTTGAGTTATAATCATAATTAATCGTCGGGTCAGGTGTATACAAATAAGCTAGAACAGAAAACAATGCATTTCCCCAAATTGTTTGGCGGGCCATTGAGATTAAAAGTTGAAATGAATTCACTGTGGTTCGTTTCATATTATTGATGAGCTGTTGTGTTTGAAAATTAAAAAAATCTATTTCTTGTACATATTTTGTAACATATTTTGTTGAGTTGAATATGATTATTTGATTGTTGATTGTTTCCGATGATAGTTCACAAAAGGATAAAACAGTTGGAAAGAATACCAAATTGTTGAGACGAAAATCATAGTAATCTATGTTACCACCGTCCACTGATAATAAATAGTTACTCCAATTAGCTGTAATAAAATCTGATAGACAAATTGGATGAAATATCGGTTGAAATGATATGAATTGAGAGTGTTCATTTGTTGTTGATGAACATGGACAGGTCAGTGTTTGAGGATATTTATCTTGAAGAGTAAAATAAACGTCGATCGAAGGTTTGTTAATGGTGATCGTTTTTGTAATAGAATATGTGGAGGCATAGAGAATAAGTATAGAAAATGTAAGAATTATTGAAATGATGAAGAATCGAGTTGAAAGACGTTGACCATATAAGTGCCATTCACTGTTTTCATCTGAATCTGAGAAAAAGTTAAGGTTGAACAAAGACATTTTTATTTTAACAAATAATGAATTTTGTTGCTCAGTGGTATCACCAACAGCTTGCAGTTCTATAAAAGAATAAAAAGAAAAACATAATAAATATAGTAATCAGTAGCGTAGCCAGCGGTAAGGGGGACAAATGGAAAATTGCTCATTTCATTTTAGCGTTTGCCCATCGCACTGTTTCACTAGTAAACCGTTGCCTACTGAACCTTCATTCTTTTGCAATTGCTACACTTATTAGTAGATTATTTAATATAAGTCTTTTCCTTCTATCTAATTCATTAAATATTTGATGTAAAAATTATTAATAGAACCTTGTTTTGTAAAAAAACGAAACCATTTATTTTCAAGATAAGAAAATTGTCTTACATCGTCTGACATAATTTCAAAGATTTCGGCATCATTTGATAATTTAATTTTACACCAGTTTTTTCTTCTTTTGAGCATGTGTCTGGATCAACCTACAGCTCACGATCGTTAACAGAGAGTGATTAAAGACTTCAGTTCCTTCTTCCCTTATCAAATCTCTATGCCCTGACATCTAATAAAGTCTTTCCAGTCAATCTCTAGCATCCTAGTTACAGTACGTACCAATAGTAGTTTCATGTGGTACAACTTTCGGTGATCGTAATAATCGGTTGAAACTTTTAACTTTTTTTCTTAAGAACTTGACTGTCGGTAATATTACGATCATAAGAACTGTTACAATTCCACCAATAAATGAAATAACCGTCGTAATAATAAAAAGAATATCAAACTGATGACTATAAGTATATGTGCAAGTTGATGGATTGCATGCATTGAAATAATGTTGGTAAGATGAATTTAATTGCCAAGAATCCACCATTAGTAGATTAGCTAAATCATTAATGGTTGGAAGAGATGAAGCAGAAGAAGGTACTGCTAAAGGTGTTGCATTGAATAGAGAAAGTGAATCATTTAAATATGTGTTTAGTTTCGATAAACAACTTTCATTATATAAACATGAAAGATTTGATTGAAGAACAGCATAAAGTATGAAAGTGCCTACAAGTACACCTGGAACTTCAAATTGTAATTCTGCTCGATATTTTGCCCAAGGTAAATTAGATGATGTCTCATTGGGAAGTTTTCTTAAGTAAATACCTGTTGTTACACTACAGTATAAACTGGATGCTGGACAATTTCCATTTGTTGTATATGATGGACCTGACCAAGCATCGACAAATCCACTGGGTGGGTATAAAAAAAGAAATAATTGCCATTTTGTTCCCAATCGATTGAAGGCACCACTACTAACTAATCCCATTAATAGAACTGAGTCAAGTGTAATTATAAAATCATTTTTACTTGTAGCTATAAACTGTTCACGAATTGCATTTATATTAGCTAAGAATATATCTTCTGAAATAGTATTTTCTGTAAGTAAAATTGCAGAATAGAATGAAATTAATTGATCATCAATTGTTTGCTTAGCTAATACACAAAGTGTACGTAGCATAGCAAAAAATCCATAAGCTGAATGACGAAAATCCCAAACAAAATGATATTGTGGTTCAAGAAATAAACGATAGTTAACATAATTGAGCCATTCATCACTAACAAAATCACTTGAGCAGATTTGATTGAAAGTCGGTGTAAATGATGATATGAATTCGCTGTATTCATTAGAAACACTTGTACATGGACATAATAATGTATTTGAATATTTTTCTTCTAATTGTTGATAATCGAATAAAGAAGGTTGTTCAGCAACTACCGTTTTTGTTAAAGGAGTTAAGGCTGAATAGAGAAAGAGAGCAACAATTGATATTGTAAACAGAATAAGAAAGATAATTGTCGATATTTTTTGATTTTTGATGTCTTCTTCATTTGTTTTATCAATATCTTTAAATAAATTGATGCGTTTAATTTTAGTTTTAAATTCTACGAACCAATTCCACGGCATTGAAAGGATGATTCTATATAATACAAAAAACTCTTCTTGAAAATACTTTCTTTCTTTTTAACTGACGATAACAACAAAAAAAAGGAAAATATCCTAGTTATATGCTATTTATTTTATTTAAAAATTTTTTTTTTCTTTCTTTCTTTTTCATATTCCATGGTTTTTTCATCATTTTAATAAAATAAGTTGATGTAAACACAGAAATACGTCATATTACCACGTAGAATGTAAATTCATATTGTAGATAACCAAAAAAAATAGTTAGAATACGCATGAAAAAATCTACCAATCATCTCTTTTCCAAAGATCATAAAATATTATGCTTCTTAAGTTGAAACAAAAATTTTTTTTTCCTTCCTCTACATATTTTATTAGTTAAGTGTTTGTAAAAATGAAATTATGATAGAAACAATCATTAGAAAATTGACTTATAACTTCACGGGCTTTTTAAAGACTACGTCATTACCTTATTTGTTAAATTTTTTTTTTCTTTAGGTGATAACTTTGAAATATAGTAAAGGCAATACTCTTTGATAAAAGTTATCACAAGAAAACAAATTTCAATCGTTTTGGCGTATTTGCATGAACTGACGACAAAATCGCCACGACTTATTGTCGTGCCCTCGTCATAGAAACTCTTACTTTTGAGCATAAATATTGCATTACCTTGTTGCCCATCATTGCCATACTGACAAGGACATCCACTCACATTCTATCACCAAATTCAATGTTTTCAATGGTAATGATTTATTTGATGTTGTGTTCGCGCTATATTGATTAAAAACGTTTTTTTCATTTATCAAATATTATTGAGAGTGTGAGTATGAAATCTATAGAATATCCACACCCACTTCAAAAATGATCTCTTTAAAATATCAATTATTTATTTCAGTGAAATCATCATATCGACTAACTTTTTTTTCATTCTATTATAAGAATTGACTATTCGAACATATATGGTATTAGAATAAATATAAATCGTTTGTCATCATATTCATTATATATTACATGTAATGATTCTTCTAAATTACACGAACAATTACATATATACATCCACAATCATTATGTCTTACCTGTTCATTGTTTATCTCGTTGATGACACTATATATACACTCTTTTCATCCCATTGCAATTTATTGAGTTTCGTTGAGAAGTGTTTTCTATTCATATTAACATACTGATCTGTCCCATTATGTTAATATGTCTAGAAATCGTTTATTTATTCAATACATATGAAATATTTCATTTATTGGATCAGAAAGAGTAATTCATTATATTGAATAAATACAGTTCTTTTTCTCTCTTTTTCGTTACTTTAAACAACATGTTGCGCAACCGTTCTTTTTCTACAATACATACCAATGATGTGTATTGTTTATTTTACCGATCCGGATTAACGCTCATTTGTGTTCTCAACAAAATTAGAGTTTCCCTTTAATAAACACAAAATTCATAACAATACAATTTATTATTTGTTTTTTACAAGTTCGAGGTTATTTCTATATAAATGAATATCTGAATGTTTTGAAGATGATGATTGTTGTGCAATTTGTATAGTATGTTTATAAAATATACGAGCTTTTTAGTATCTACCCATATTTTCATACACAAACCCAATGCTGTTGTAGGACCTCGCCAAATTAGGATGATTAGAAGGAGATGATCGTTGTTTGATTTCAAAGGCTTGCTCATAATATGAAAGTGCTTTCGAATAATTTTTCATGCCTTGATGCACAAAACCAATGTTGTTGTAGGAAGAAGCCGAATCAGGATGATTGGGTGTGGAAGAGTTTTTTAATGGATAGTAAGTGATTTTTCATGCAATATAAGTGCTTCTTGATATTTTCCTTTATTTCGTTTGAACATCAAGTTGATGATAAATAGGTGCCTTGTTTTCATCATCCTTTTCTTGATCAAATTAAACATGATAAATATCTTCAGCTTTGTCAAACTGACGCATTTCAAATAGTACTAACTCCAATCTGTACCATTCTTCTTTATCCGGAAAACTCTCTATTTGAATGTAATCAGTAAGACTGCTCAGTTCTGAACCGCTGTCGGCAGTAAGGATAACAAATGAATTTGAAAAAATTATTAGAGGAAATCGTTTCCAAAACGAGTTTGAAATTTATTCATCAAAAATAAAACATTGACATACAAATACAAATACAACATCAAATAGATTTATATTTGAAAAATGTAATGAGAGAATAAGAGAGTTGAATATATAATGTATTGTTTATATTTGTGTCATAGCCATATGAAACCATTTCATATACTTAGATGAAATACTCTTCGACTTCTTTGTATCTTATTTCGATATCGAGCAATAGTCTTATGAAATTCTTGCTTATAAAATGTTGATGGTAATACATATATAAAAAAAATTAACATCGATGGAATAAATGAAATAAAATATCCAATAAGACATATCCATGAATTATTTGATGATTTCATACATTTCGATACATAAGATATTATTAAACGTGGTAATGCAAGAATAACTAATACAATTGGAGCAATTAATAAGTTTTTATGTTCATGTAATTGTTGTCGTAAAAGTTGGTAATAAGTTCGATCATTTTGTAAATTTGATTGTTGATGAGATTTTCTTGTTATTAAAACAATAGATGATACTAAATTTATTACGAATGGAGCAATAAAATGAAAACCGTGTATCGCAGAATGAAATGTTTTTAAATTAGATGAATAAGTAATAGTACACCATATTCTTCTTTCATTATCATTTACTTCATCCATTAAATGTCGATAAAACGGATCATAAATCGATGTACTTATGATAACAATAATAAGAATAATAATTATTATTTTAGCTGCTTTTTTACTTTTTTTCTTTTGAAAACGAGTACCTTTTATTATTGTATATGCTCGTTCACCGGCTACACAAGCATTTAACCATTGGTCCATATTAAGACATGATTGTAGAAGAAAATCAAGAGTAATACATTGAATACGTAAGAATGTTCGATTTGATATCCTTCCCATTTGTGAAAAAATAAGTATTCAACATTTTAATCCAAATAAAATTATTATAAATAAAGTTGTTATTGATAAACTAAATAAATATAGACCACTACCAACATCACGTACCATTTTATTTTTAAATGTTATCATAGCAAGAATACCATTAATAAAACCAGCTATAATAAATACAATAGTTAATGTTAAACTTATTATTACAATAATTGGTTGATATTTTATACTAATATTTGGTATAATATGATAACCTAAAATAGCATCGAGGGATAAACCAAATCCACTTGTACTAAATTGACACTGTGCTCCAAAAAAACATGAAGGGCAAAGGCATATTGATCTTGTCGGACAATGTGGAGTATCTTGAAAACATTTGCCACCATTTTGACATTCATTTTGACCTGAACAATCAAATATCATATCATGATTAAATTCAAAACAATTAGCAAGACGTTGTTTATAATAATCATAACATAGACAAAGATGAATATTATCATAAAAACAAGAAAGATTTAATGAAGACATTTGACATGGTAAATGATAATATTTTATTCGACGAATAAGATCTAATTTAATAATACTATCATTAAATATTTCATTGATATGTTTACAACGATCTGATGGTTTTATCATTTGATTAATTGTTGTTGATCGATTATAAATATTTTTAACAAAAGTTAAATAATAGTTTTTTTCAAGAAGTTCAATAAAAACAATATGAAATGGTCTTGACCAAAATATTGTAATAAAATCTTGTTGAACAGGAATTGTTTGAAATGTAGTTGATCGCACTGGTCTATCACGATTCATAACTTCAATAAAATGAATGAATATTGATTGTGGTACAATAATAGATTTTTCAAATGATAAAATTATTTTAGTATCCTCTAATTCACATCGTTCTCCAAAATAACCTTTTCGACAAATACATATAAATCGTTTCTTCGATAACATATATTCATCCGTCGGACTACATAGACCGCCATTTTGACATGTTAAATTTTGACATATCATATTGTTAAGAAGACATCGAGGACCAAATTTATAAATAGGACAAACGCATATTGATTGATCAGTAGAAGAAGAAATACCGATATCTAATGAATCAGATGAACATATTGACGAATGTTGAATTGTACAGTAACGACCAGACCATCCAGTATTGCAATGACAAAATCTTTTTTGTTTATCATTGAAATATTTAATACATTAACCATTGATACATCGGTTATTTGAACAACTTTCAAAATTAACATTATCATTTGGAATATTAACGATTAATGATAAACGATAAACAGGTAAAAATGAAAATTTAACTGAAAAAAATAAACTTCCACGATATTTTCATGAAATTTTTTCATAAATATTAATTTGTATTCCATAATTTTTTGTTTGATTTTTTGGTCGATTTGAATAAAGTAAATAAATATTATATTTAATTTTACAACCTCGTGTTGATAAGTAAGTAATTTGTTCATATGAATGAATTATTTTTTTATTATTATCATCATCAATTAATAAAATAACAATTGCAAATGGTATTTGCCATGAATTAGGTGATGCTTGAAATCGAACTGATAAACTTACTCGTTGATTTTGGTATTGACATTTGTCACCATAATAACTAGGTGGACAGAGACATGTAATTTTAGTTATATTCTTTTTATTACTTAACCAAATAAGTAAGTTAATACCACGATGACAATAAAGTTGATGTTGATCTGATTTTGTAATTATAGGTGAACTTGAACGTACTTCATTTTCAATACGTTTTGTTTGATCTTCCAGTGATTTCTTCATTCCATCGATAGTAAAGTAGATAACTGGTTCTTTTATATATGGTTGCATTTTGTTGCATAAAAACTTCTCGACATCCGAAGCATTTTCACGTTCCTCTGACAAACAAAAAGTCCTGAAGGAATGTTTTTTCTTTGTTGTACAAAATTGTTCATCATCTCCATAGTAACAATCTGTATTACTGTCACATAGTTGCACATCAGGTATACATAATTTTAAGCTTTGATTCATGCAGTAAAAGCCATGCCAATTAATGATTGCATTTGCTTTGTGACATAATGTTGGTTCATCTGTAGCACCAAGACAATCAACTTTACCATCATTTGCTTTGTGAATAGGTAAATAAATAATTTTATATGTATTAGGTGAAACACATTTATGCCATCCATTAATATTGGTAATAATTCAGTAGCTCTATCACAAATTATTTGAAATGAAATATGTTCGCGGAAATTTTGTAATTCTACGTGTGATTCTTCTTCTGAATGTTTAATTTCGTCTATAGAAATAGTATGATTAATTGAAGTTATATTTTCGTCATCACTATTCGGACAATCATTTATACCATTCATACGACGATGTATAAAAATACATTTTAATGAATTCGAACATTGATACATATTCGATCTATTACAAATTATAGAATTATAATTATAAATTTCATGGTATTGCCAAAGTTTTGAATGTAAGTGTTGTAAATAAAATTGTGGTGATGGGAATACATCGGGTTGTTGAAGTAATTCTGGTTGAATACCCCAACGACAAATTAAATTATTAAATAATACCGTTGAATAATTGTATATTTCATTTGAATTATCGATAAAAAAATTATTATAACGAGAATTATTATAACATACATAAGGAAACAGAAATTTTCGATAGTCCAACATTGTTGGTTTATATTTTTTAAAAGCAAAATAAATATCACCAAATAAAACTGGAATAGGTGGTATGAATAACATATTTGGGCAATCCTGTTTGATAATTAAAAGACATATATGATACTTACAAAAATCATTACATCTTGTATCAAAAGGATCTTTTGAATAACTAAAAACGCATAAGAATGCATACCAACATTGATTATATATTGATTCGTCTTTGATATTATCCATGGTTTCGAATAATAATTGTTCACGTTTTGTCATACAAGAATCTGTTAAAGGTGAACTCTTACATGTTACGTCTTCCCATTTAAATAATGGCATCTGTGAACTACATAGACGTGGGAGAGGACGATCCCTCTTATATAAATCAGAAGCGTCAAAACAATCAGGAGCATGAATATCATCTTGAAAAAACGATTTGTCTATGCATTGACCATTAGTACATCGATATTCATTATCATTACATTCATTTATTTCAAGTTGCCAACAATATTCTTCATCAACTTCACCATTAAGACAATCAATTTGTCCATTACAAATTTCCGTCCAATCTAAACATGCTGAAGGATGACCACGATTACATTGTAAATGAATATAACAAGTAAGATCCGTTGGATTATATGGATAAATATTATAGAAAGTCTTAATCATTTCATATAAAGATGGATAATCTGAATAATAATAATCAATTTTATATTGACACATTGAACCAAATCTTGGTAATGTACAATTATAAAAGATCTTTTTTGATAATGGTGAATCGTTTGATATTAATAATTGATTTAAATACCATTGATAATCTTCAATAATATCTATTGGTGTTGACCAAAGATATAATTGCTGACTTGTTATATTTTGTTTTGAAAGTTGTTCAAAAGTAAATTTTGGAAAATAACCATTTTCTTCTGTATTAAATTTGGATGAGAATTCATTCATACAGTAAAATAACATTTCACGATAAACATATTTGTCTCCATTTAAAACGTCAATACGTAAACAATCATGTTGTAATAAATCGTTATTTTCATTTTCATTTACCCCACCTGTATGATGAAGATTGATTTGAGGTTGACCGATAACCAAATGAAAAAAAATAAAATACAATAAATATTTCATACGAAACATTTAATGTGTTATATAATAACAAAAAATAATGAATTCAGTATCGATAATGTATACATGCCATTCCTGTCGCTCTTTTATGAAAGCATTTGGAGTTGTTGTTTTTAGAAAAAAATCATGAACAAACTCATTTGTTCTTGTCTGAATGATGAAATTATTAGAACAGCTAATGACGTCAAATCACCATTAGATAATGCCCTTCTCTGACGCAAATCCTAGTAAATATCTGACTTTTGACGTAAAAACTTCTGAAAATAGTTCAGGAAAAACGCCATTATATTTTTTATTGGCTGGAAAATACGTAAGCAAAATTAAATAAATCTATTACGCATCTACGTTGAGAATTGTTATGAAACGTATTCAAAAAGTCCTTAAAAATTTTTATTTCTGTTAATGGATAAAGAATATTAAAATATGTTGTAGAAAAATAATTCAATTTTGTTCATTTCATTGGATATAGTGTATTAATCTTTTCTATAATATCATTATTGGCTCTATTCTTAAGTGATATTTCATGTCTAACTAGAATTGCTATTACATGTAAAAATGACTTGTTTACCATATTTTATGTAAAATTAATACAAAAAAAAGAAATGATTATTGTAATTATGATTTTCGTATAATATTATAATCGAGAATTGTTTATACTACAGAAATAGTTAGTTATATTATTTAGTGTTGATGAATGTATTTGTTAATAAGATTAGAAATAAACTTTTAACATAAACATTCTTTATCTTATCTTGAAATTGATATTTTAAAGAGAGAAAAATCATTTTTATACGAAAAATTATAAACACTTTTATTCGTATAATCAGTTGAAATGACTGAAAATAAAAACTCTCCATTATTTGTGCAAGTGGTTATACTATTATCGGAATAAATTCATCTTATACATATTTTGTATATATTCAAGGAAGTATTCCGACTATAGATATTCGAACTAAACAAAGAGATTTTCATACCATTCATTTAAAAGATACAAATAACAAAATCTTTGCTATATATTAATAAATAAAACTACATATTTTTCTTTGTTTGATTTGATTAATTTTTTAAGTTTTAAATAAAATTAATAGAAAAACTATTTTTTTCTGTTATCTAGAATAGATGGAAGGCTAGAGAGAATTGTATTTTCTCTTAATAATCTGTAAATAGTTTAAGTATAATATTCGATTTCATACAATAAAATAGAGATTCAAAAATGACCAAAAAAAATATATTTTATTTTGTTTATTACGAAATTATCTTTTTTTTTCAAGATACAACTCATAATTATAAATGGTAAAAAAAAGAAGAGACGTCACGTTGATACTGTAGAACGATATTTCTTTCCTTCTCTTGTGTTCTTCTTCATAATATTCTACTGAAGCATGTTTGCACATGCATATATTCTGTCGTTACTAAATCGAAGTAATATTGTTGTTTTTCGCATCGTTTCATTCATTAGTAATATGTATCTTAAGTAATGTGCGTATTATTCAAATAAAAAAAAGATTTGTCAACTAAATCATGTTATCGTTAATTAGTGAAAAAGCAATCTTCAAATGAAATAAGTTATATACTTTAGTATGAATAGTTGCATTTAATAAGAATAAATCATTTTTTTATATATTTATCAGTTGAATTTGTAATAAAGAGATATTTCCTTGTCTTCAGTGTTGATTCAATCAAATTTCTTTACATATCACTAAAAATGATGAAAAAACTCAGAAACTATATTAATATACAAATGATTATGTCTAAAAAAACTCTCTTGTCTTATTCTATTTTTCATAAGATATGTCTCCAAAAATAAGCTGCAGATAACGTTGTTAACTTGTCGATCATTAAAATATGTACTTAAACAAAAAAGTCAACAATAATATCTATCGAAAGAAAAAAAAGTTGAAATAATTAAAAGGAAATACATATTATTGGTAGTAACGTTTAACAACTATTGAATATTTTTATAAAAAGATGAATGGTTGTTGAATTGTTATTAAAATTCAATTTATAATTTTCCTTAGTTTTCATTTCTGTTATTATCTGTTATATTAGTTTTTTCGAAAAAAAGTAGTAGGGAACTAGATTCTTGTAGACACTTTTTATTTATATAATGATATTTGCTGCTAATGGAAAATATTTCGATGATCGTTGAAAACTTAATAAAATCATTTTTGAATTGTCTCTTAGTATTTAAAATTGGATTTAATCGAATGACCTGACAAGTTAGAACAGTACTTGAAATGCAGTTGTCTATTCTATTCATTTGATTATAAAAATGATCGTCAACAAAATTAGATTTATGTGTTTCGAAATTACATTTTTTTGACTTGTTTTTTTGTGTATCTGCATCTCATCACAAGTATGACAGGTAGGAAAAAAATCATGCTTGAGACAAAACAAAGAAAAATCAAAATCGTATCATTAGAATGTATATATTTTTTTATTTCGAAGTAATTAATCTTGTCATTTTATTCTTTATCGATATTATAAAGATAATCGTATGCATTATATATGTGCATCAAATTGTCATATGATTATAAATTTTATTCATAAGATTTATTTGGCTATAATGTTGTTTTGACGTTATTTATTTCTTTGATAAAATATTTTATATAAATATTACAGTTGCACAATGACTCAACATATATAAAAAAAAAGGTATCCGTTAGGTAATAATCTTATTGATCAGTGCGAATAAATACTCAGACGAAAAAGTAAATAATACGCATACTGTAAATTCAAATAGGGGTAAGTATTATCTTTTTTTTATACTTTTATTCATGTTTAAAACTGAAATAAATAATGTTCGTCAAAGCATTTGAGAAAAATTAAGTATTACTATTAGTAAAGTATTAGCTTTTATTTCTATAGAAAAATAGATTTTTATCTATAACTTTTTTTGATTTTCATTTTGTTTTGGTTTCATATACCGTTTTTCCTGTTTTTTGTTGAATAGAAACTACACCTAATCATCTTCTCTAGTAATTATTAATTTTATTGGCTACGTACAAAACTATCGAAACTAAAACTGATAAGCAACATCAAATTATAACTCATAAGGTCAGAATGATCTATCAAGTGAATTTGTATGACAATCTTTGATTGAAATAAAATTATTTCTTATTACCATTTAATGAAAAAATAATTAGATTAAGAGAACAACGAGATCATTTAAAAGGATGTTAGTACAGCTTTTTAGTTTCATCAATTACTTAGGGGTACCTAAAAGTAGTTAAGTTAATCAAGTCAGTTCGAGAAAAAAGAAGTTATATATCGGCTCAAACAATTTTCTACATAGATATTCTTAATATTTATTTATGTTTCACGTTTTAATTTTATGATAAGGCTCAAACTGTTTCAAATAGTGTATCCGTTCGAGACAGTTTGAATTTTTCTCTGTTGATTAAGAAACAATTTGCAGATAAATTTTTCTGACATTTCATATTCTAAACTAAAATTATCACATCGATTGATCTATTTTTTTAGAAATTTGTTTATTCATCAAGAATTTCTGGCTTTTCTACATTAAAAGGACATAATTAATAATACAAAAGGTGATTGATAGAAAATTTGTTCTAAAAACTGCCATTTGTTAAATATAATTTTATTTTACTATAGATGAATCAAAACTGTATGGATGATGGTGCTATCAGAGTCAGGCATTCATTTACACAGCAAGATATTCAAGTCGATAATGTTCAAAATGAGAACTCAACACAAAATCAGACTAATGCATCAGAATCTGTCAGTGTTATTAAGAAAATGAAGAAGTTGCCAATGACTCCAACAGCTTTGTATATTATTTTCTTTTCATTTCAGGCCTCATCATATATATATAATTTATTTTCATTAGGAATCATTCGCGGTGGTCAAGACATCGAACTGCAACAGCTGTGGGTATATTTGCTCTCTTCACAAGTCTAGCAATGATTGTTAGTATATTGGTGGTTTGCCTCACTTCACCGAAAGCAAAAGGTATGTTCTGATTTTTTTTCATATACCAACCACATATATGATATAAATTTATTCTGACTTATTATATTATCTTATAGAACTTTTCTCTTCATAATAATAGTATGATAAAATAATAGATAGAACTAGTGTATTTCCTTGAGCAAGAAGAGTTCACATCAGCCGATAAACATCTTATTATGTTCTGTGTGTTATTTTTCATTATCGTTACACAATAGAACTAATATTCATTTGATTTCATCCACCACAGTTGAAGAATTTTTATCATTGTATTGAATTTGCAGCTAAGGATAATTTACAAAAGAAATTGTTTGATTAAGAAGAAATGTAGCTTAAACAGATAGTGTAAGCCATTAATATCATTTCTTCTTTCTTGAAAACACCGTGTTTTTTTCAACAATTTTTACAGTAAACGAAAGAAAGTGAATAGATATGTATGATATCTACTTAGTATTTGAGTGTTCAAAGACTACCTGAGATTCTATGAATTCAATAAGAATGATTACATCATAAAAACTGATTAACTTTTACATTATTTATCTTTTTTATTTAGTTCAACAGTGTAAACTGAAATTCATACAAACTCCTCAAAACCCAATTGACTATAACCTTGGTCTTCGCTCTGCTGCCCTTGGCAATTTCGATGATGACGAGTTGTTCGATGCTGTTGTTGCCAATCATCTCGTTGATAGTATATCTGTATTTCTTGGATATAATAATAGTATTTTTTCAAGTAATATGACGTATTCGACCGGTTTACATTCTGCTCCATACATGGTAGCCATCGGTGATTTTAACAACGATCACCACACGGATATTGCTGTTGCATATTTCGGTACTAACAGCATCGGTATATTTCTCGGATTTGGAAACGGTTCTTTTACTAATACAACAGTAATTTCAACTGGTTCATCACGTCCAATTTGGATACATATAGCTGATCTCGATAATGACACCTCACTTGATATCGTTACAGCTAATTATGGAACTGATAGTATTAGCATATTTTATGGATTTGGAGATGGAAGTTTTTCATATCCGAT